TTTTTAATATCATAAAGGCTGAATTATAGCAGCCGGCAAAACCTAAAGCCAGTCACCAGTTGGTTTCAAAATATTATACGCTAATGCCTGAAGCAACTAAGAGACTGAAAATACCAATAGTGGATGATCCTATTTCAAGTCTGTCTTCCAGTGTGGTCCTGCTCATGGACACGGAGGGTCTTCCCAAGGACCAGGGTGACCGTCATATTGAACAGGCTCTATGCAGGGACTTCGAGGCCTCATCTCAGTCCTTGAGAGCTTCCACCGCTGCCTCCTTATTTGCCAGGGCAGCATATGACTGGGCAGAGAACTTGGCTTCGGCTGGGAGTAATGTCCCTAAGGAGTTCAAGGATGAACTGAAGAAAATTGCATTAACTATAGCGTTTGCTGCTGATGCGTCTCTGGACGCCTTACAGTTGTCAGCTAGGGCCATGGCATGTAGTAATCCTGCTCGCAGGAATACCTGGTTACAGCTCTGGGATGCTGATTCTTCATCCCAAGCCAAGGTGGCTTCAGTCCCTTTCAAGGGCGGGAACCTATTCGGGGAGGGTCTGGATAGTTGAGGATAGAGACAAAAAGGTGTTACCATCTAAAAAGAGGGACAATAAGTCCAGAAAGAGATTTCAACCATTTCGGGATCAAAAAAGAGGTCAGAAGTCATTTCTTAATAGACCCTTTAAACCCAAGTGGCAACCCAGACAGTCTGGTTCCAAACCCTTCTCTCAGACAAAAGGGGAACAGTCAAGCAACAGGAGCCCCAAAAAAGGTGCCTCAGCATGACTATCTTCCCAAACAGAGACACTCAGGCATTTGGGGGAAGATGACAATCATGGACCGTTGCGGCCTAGACATAGTGAACAATGGCTACAGGCTGAAGTTCTTTTCCAAAAACCCCGTCAGACTGATAAAAATAGCGAAACACAGGTGCATTTTAAAACATCTCCAAATGATCACAGCCATCCAAAAGTGTTGGATATAGGGGCAATACAGTTGGTCCCACAGGTACAAAAAGGACAGGGAGTATACTCTATTCTTTTTGGTCCCAAAGAGAAATGGGGACTCCAGAGCCATTCTGGACCTCAAGAGACTGAACAAACATGTTCAAGACAAAAATTCCGGATGGAAACACTGCGTTCCATCTTACCAGCCATTCAGAAAGGGGATTTTCTAGCTTCAATAGACCTCTCTGAGGCTTATTTGCACGTCCCAATTCACTTGGAGCAGCGGAAGTTTCTGAGATTCGCTTATGCGGGTCGTCATTACCAGTACAGGGCTCTCCCATTCGGGCTCAAATCATCCCCGAGAGTTTTTACCAAAGTTCTGGTCACCCTTGTAGCAGCCCTCAGACTAAAGCGGATAGAGTAATTTCCTTATCTGGACGATATTCTTATCAAGGCGACATCGCGACAGGGGTGCATACAAGCATCTCAAATCACAGTGAATACGCTACAGGAACGCGAGTTCATAGTGAATCTAGAGAAAAGTCATTTACAACCCACACAGAGACTGATTCACTTAGGTGTGATAATAGACACAGTAACGGACAGAGTTTTTATTTCCAAAGAGAGGGAAAGCAAGATTATTTGTCTTTTGGGAGAGACATTAAAACAGGACAGGACGGCTCTCATGTCACTGGCAAAACCTTTGGGGATGCTGGTGTCTTGTCAGGATGTTGTGCCGTGGGCACGTTCTCATGTGAGACCTCTACAGAGGTTTCTGTTACCTTACCAAAGGGACATTGCGTGCCGGAGGTTCAAGCTAATTTGTCTGAGGCACTAAAAGCGGACCTAGCCTGGTGGCTATCACCACAATTTTTTCCCCAGGGTTGTCTCCTTTGGGAGCCCACAAGGACACTAATGACCACTTAATGTGCATTATTGTAATTATCAAAAATGTTGTGACCTAAGATAAATATATAATAGTACAAAATGTATTCATGATATATGATGGAACTTAGTGGTGGCACACAAATTTCCACTCACAGACGCCATCCTTTATACATGACATTAATTCACAAAATATAAGAAGACACCGAAGTTCTTCAATATTTATTTATTTATTTAATTCAATTTACATTCCGCCTTCCCTGCCAAGGCAGGCTCAGGGCAGCTTACATTAAGAGTTAAAATACATTAAAACACAAATTATTAACGTCATAGAAGATCATATACAGTAACAAATCATAAATTGCTAGTGGCGGTATGATATTACATAGAGATCCCAGTAGGCCATGGTGGAATGGTCACAAAAGAGTATAGTCAGAATTGGTAAACATCAGTCCATTTATACAGGCTGTCCCATGCTGCTGGTGGTGTAGTAGTACTACAGTTCGGTTGCTGGAAGCGGCTCCTAATCAGAGGCCTGATAGATTGCATTCCATCCGGATACGCTCAGCGTAAGAAGATGCGTCAAAGAAGCGGTTCCAGCGACAAACCCCCCCCCCCAAATGCGGTGGCTAGCTTCAGGAAATCATGTTTCACCAACAGCTTTCTCAAGAGCAGAACCAAACGCAACTACATTCAGGGAAGTTCTCACAATGAAATCAAAGAAACGGGCAACATGCCGTATGATCTCACAGAATTCAACGTGCTACAAAACCGTTGGCCACAGGCAGAGTAACACTGGCTGTGTCCTTCCATGTTCCTAACACATTATGTTCCCGCTGTGGATGAATGAATTGGTTTAATACGGTCAAAGACCAATCAGATATACAAAGTATAGATTCTTCATAAAAGCTTACATTCGAACTGAAACCTGTAAACATAAAAATCAGCCTCTGTTATATACATTAAGTCTTAACATTAATAGATGTTAAATACCTCTCCCAGCCCTGGGTCTTGACTTAATACCTGCTGAATTGATTAAAGAAAATTCAGATAGGTGGGCTCCACTGCTTGCCAAACTATTTACTGAAATAAATAGGACAGCAAGGATACCCAACGGTTGGGATACTGGAGTTATCATTCCCATCCATAAGAAAGGAGATCGAAATGACACTAATAATTATGGACCAATTAGTCTTTTAAGTATCTTGAGTAAATTATATGTGGTTAAGTGCACGGACTCTAATCTGGGAGAACTGGGTTTGATTCCCCACTCCTCCACTTGCAGCTGCTGGATGACCTTGGGCAAGCCATAGTTCTGTCAGAGCTGTTCTTGAAAGAGCTCTCTCAGCCCCACCTACCTCACAGTGTGTCTGTTGTGGGGAGGGGAAGGGAAAGGAGTTTGTAATGCTGCTCTGAGACTCCGAGTGAAGGGCGGAGTATAAATCCATTCTCTTCTTCTTCTTCTAAATGGTGTCCTGCTTAGGGTTACCAACCTCCAGGTGGGACTCGAGGATCTCCTGGAATTACAACTAATTGCCAGCTAACAGAGATCAGGAGAAAATTGCTGCTTTGGAAGGTGGACTCTATGGCATTATACCTCACTGAGGCCCCTCCCCTTGCCAAACCCCACCCTCCCCAGGTTCCACCTCCAAAATCTCGGCACGATTGAAGAAAGGCTCCAGCCGAGGTACAGACGAGAACTAAAGGAGTGTCAGGAAAGAAGGGAAGGGTTGAGTCAAATGGCCCCCAGCAGAAAGAAACGAGAGGGGAGTGACCCGACAAAACACCAGGAGCAGGAAGGGCATCGATCCAGGGTGAAAGCAGAAAAACAGAGAGGCAACATATGTTAAATACAGTGATGCTCTGTATTCTTGGTGCTTGGGGGTGGGGGCAACAGTGGGAGGGCTCCTAGTGTCCTGGCCCCACTGCTGGACCTCCTGATGGCACCTGGTATTTTTGGCCACTGTGTGACCCAGAGTGTTGGACTAGATGGGCCATTGGCCTGATCCAACATTGGCTTCTCTTATGTTCTTATGTACTTAAAAGGCAAGCCTTCTGTGGGATTGTGCTGAATTGTCAGTGCCCGTAGAGGAGACCCTCTCCCCACACACACAGAGAAACACACAGAGTTGAAAGCAAGCTCCCCAACATGGTGTTTGTGGGCATCACAGCACCCACCAACATCTTTCCTGTTGCCCGCTGAGGGTTTTTAGGAGGCGGGTGGTGCTTTTGCCCAGTTGGGCTTCTGATTGGCCATTGGAGTCCTGATTGGCCGTGCAGATTTTTAAAACATTGCTTTGGCAGCAGTTTGCACCACAGCCCGAGGGTATTCACTGCATGACTGAAGGTATACCAGCAAATATTTTTAAACGGTATTTTTGTTTATAAGAAATCTCGGTAAATAGAGCGTTTACCTAAAATGTCGAAGAGTCGCTGTTGAAGTTATGCATAACCTCACTTGCTTTCATTTTGTGGTTGGTGGCACATCCTCGGGCAGCCGTTTTGTTGTTGCGCCCACCCTTCTGTGCCCGAGGTGCTCACAGGCTCAGAAGGGTTGAGAACCCCTGCTTTCAAGGGTACCCTGGAGCTTTTCAGAGGCTGGAGAAGTGGTGGCAGATAGCAGAGCAGACAGCAAGGAAAGGCAGCAGTATTTTCAGGGTCCGGTCCAAGACTTTGCAGTCATCTTCTCTGCCCCACAAAAGCAGTTCTCAAGCTTTTTGAAGGAGGGTCCACTTCTCAACTTTCTGTACTTTTCAGGACTCACTCACGAGCTTCCTATACCTTTTGGGACCCACTTACCGAGTTAATTGCCGTTTATATTCTGTGGTTTGTGTTTGGCCTGGTTGATATGTTCCTTTCCCAGCCACAGATCCGATGGTCATTGTTAAACTTGACGTGGCGAAGCTTGCGATGACTTTGTCCTACCCCCCCTTACCCTGAAACTTCTCAGCAATCCATATTCTGTCGCCTGTGACTTGAAAACTTGGCTTGGTTTGGTAGGTAAGGCCCAGAAGATGCCTTCCCAGGTACAGCAGCCTGAAGAAAAGCTGACGGAAGAGGAACTGGCCAGATACGTTCAGGAGCTGCAGAAGCATCAGGTGAGAATGGGCCTGCGGGAATCCAGTCATCTTCTATCTGTGCTGGTCACATACTCATTTCAGAGTTTTTATTCTGCTGGAAAGCCAAGAGTTTCATTGGTTGTTGTGTTGATGGCTGGGGATAACCAGGGGTATGATCTCCTGCAAGCCAGAGTTTCATGGAGGTTGGGTAAACCAAAAGAGTGCATGGGGAAGATTGTGTAAACCAAAATAAAACACACCGTGCTAACTTACATCATGGATTCTCTATTTTTATATAATAAAGATGAAATGTAGTTTAAATAAACTTAACTAAACTTCTGCCTCTCGTGGCAGAAGAACTTGCAGCCGTACCTGACATCAAACCACGAGAGGCATCTTCGGACGAAAAAAACTACACAAGTTCTTAATTGCCTTCAAAATAGTTTGTGATATACTCAGGAGGGTTGGGTTATGCATTAGATGTACAAGTATCGTTAAGTTTATTTAAGCTACGTTTCATCTATGTTATATAGAAATAGAGAATCTATGGCATAAGTTAGCATGGTGTGGTTTATTTTGTTTTACACAAGAGTTTCATGGAGGGCTGAATCTTTATACGTAAGTAGAAATTGTACAAACAGTAAAGGAAGGACAATCTGATTTGCATTCTTCCATAAGTCTGGCCAGCGTGATGTCCTATACTTGCCACATATCTGAAGGAGGGAACATAACTCATGAAAGCTCATGCTGAAATAAACCAAGATGGGCAGCTGTGTTTGTCTGTAGCAGTAGAAAAGAGCAAGAGTCCAGTAGCACCTTAAAGACTATCAAAATATGTGGCAGGGTTGGAGTGTTTGTAAGTCACCGCTCACTTCTTCAGATGCTCCGAAGAAGTGAGGTGTGACTCACAAAAGTTCATCCCCTGCCACAAATTTTGATAGTCCTCAAGGTGCTACTGGACTCTTGCTTTTTTCTGTTGAAATAACTGTTAGTTTTTAAGGTGCCACGGACTAACACGTCTACCCCTTTGCAATCAGTATATTTCCCAGAATTTTAGGTGTTGGTTTTTTTTAAATCTTGAGAAGTGTTTTGGGTTTTTTTTCTTGTCAGACTGGGATGTGATGGATAGACCGTATGTACATTCTTTCTTGTAAGTGGCCTGCAAGGTTTTCTTGCTTTTTGTAGTTTCTGCAAAAAGCTGGTTCAGAACACTACCAAAGTGCTACCAGGATCCTGCTGAAATTGCAGTGCCGTCCTGTACAGTTAACACCTTCCTAAGCCTGTTGACTTTAGTGGACTTAGAAAAGTAAAACTCTGTTCGAGATTGTTCTGGCAGAGACACAGAATGGTGGAGACATCATTATTGGCTTCTGGTCCTCTTCTGAAGCCCCTTTCCCTTCCCACTGCAAAACACCAGGGCCATTCAAGAGGGCTGTGGCAAGTACCAAACCAAGCTGCCGAAAGCAGGGGAAAAGTGAAAAAGGCAGTTTTACAAGACTAGCATCCTGCTTGTGGAAGGAGCCCACAGCCCTTGCCTCCCGATGATTGGGCAGAAACCAGGGCCAAAGGTGGGGCAGGATTGTCCTGGGGAGAAACATTAAAAAGAAAATGAAAGCCTCTGATGCTTACAGAATGTTTTGTCCATAGAGTTCCTGACGGTTCTGGGCTACTCAAAAATGACAAGGGTGGCTGTAGCAATCACCAAAAACTCTGTGGTAATCTTACCATAGAGTTTCTGGCAGTTCTAGAACTAGTGTTGTCACTTCCAGGTGGCTCTAGGAATCTCCAGGAGCTCTATGGCCAGAACTTCTGCTAGTAGCCAGGTCCTCATTTTTATTTTTATTTTTTTGCTCAGGATGCCACCTCTTTCCCCCCGCAACTTGCTCACCAGTTGCCAAGCATTGCCCAGCTACCCTAGTAACATGACTCTGAGCATCACTAAATCAAGATCTGTCCGCTGAGTGCCCGGGCACCAGTGTGTGAAATCTCCCATTAACTTCTTTCCTTCTGTCTGTCTTTCAGGAAACGTCTGAGAAGATTAAGCGATTGAGCACCAAAGAGATGTAAGAAGAGGCTGTCTAAAGGCGGGTGTGTGTGTGTTCCCCGCCTCACCCACTGGTCTTCCTTCAGTGCCGATCTAAATATGCAAGCGTGTCTAGAATTGATTGCCCAGTCACAGATATTTACATTGTATAGCGATGGGAGGGGGACAAAGAAAAGTGATTCTTCTGAAATTCAAAGGAACGAGAAGATCCCACGTAATGGTCTTTCGCGAGAGGGTTCGGGAGCCGCACTGGTAGGGACGAGTGAGGGTCACACACTGTTCCGCTGGAGGTCTCGGCACTCCGGGGGAGCGTCACCTTTGACCCGCAGCCTTTGAAAGGGTCTGTGGGGATTGATTTGCCAGTAGGGGAGTCCTTCCCAAGGAATGCCTCTTGAGAATCTCCCAGAATTGTCCACAACTACTACCACAACTGCAGGAACTTGGGAAGGAAGTGCCTGTCGCTAAGCATCAGTTCAGTGCAATGTCGCTAGGCCTCGCGGCCTCCCACCTCGACACCTGGCCTTTCAGTTTCTCTGCACATGCGCTCGCCCTTCATTCTCTCCTCCCATTTTCGATCCAGACCCTGCCTCTTGTTCACCTCAGCTCCCACGTTGTGTGCCTCCGGCCCCCTGAGGTCGGTCAGTCGACTGGCAAGTGGGGGGGGCTTCCTCTTGATCTCGGACCGATCCGCCCCCCCTTGCCAGAAGCCGGTCAGCCTCAGTGCATTGCGGGCTCCCGAGTGACCTCATTTTCTTTCCCCCTCTCTTTGCAAAGGTGCTACAGTATATTTTCTTATCACACGCACACTGACCTTTTCTTTCTAATTAATGACTTTTGATTGAGCTTTTTTTGTATCTCGGATTTAATAGATATGGTTTTATATTTACTGGGAAAAGAAATGCTGTACTTCTGGTTCAGGCTTTGTATTATAGCTACATGTATCCCCAAGGAAAAGTAAAATCATGGCAGCGCCCAAGAGGAAGCGCAGAACTGGAAGGCCCTCCCAGGATCTGGTATCTCAGCTCCTTTGTCGTAATGGGCCTGAAGATGGCGGGAATGGGGCTTTTCAGAACAGGACCGCAGGTCCAGCATTTGCCTGCCTCAACAAATAAGAACTGACATGTCCTCTGTTGCTTTCTATTGCCCTGTGAGTTTATCCTAAAAGGAATGGATTCTTGATCTCATCTTTGGGGGGGGGGGGTGGGACTGTGGCCAGTCCTGGCAATTAAATAGAAGGCATTAGAAATCTTTGGCAGACACAGACGAGTCGTTCTCCCCGTATCCTTCTGAGGAGAGGCTCAGTAAGTAATTTAATCATTTCCAGAGAACAGTTTTGGACACTGCAGCCCTACAATGGATGCAGATGCCCTGGGGTTTCTGATTGTGACACCACTCTGGTGTTTGAAGGGGAACTTGCCCGGCTGGGATTTTGCTTTTCCCGTTCCTTGAAAGGGAACGATATGCCCCAAGCAGGGTCAGAAGAGAGGTGTTGCATTCTTGGGCATGAGACCAGAGTCCGTCCCATGCAATTTTAGGAATCCTGACAATAAAATCGGGGATCGCAGTCTCCTCATTTTGGTATACCAAACGTCAAAAAGCTTTGTCGTCATTTTCTTTTTCTTTAGACTCGTTTGCTTAAAGGGAAACTGGATTGGGGTGGGGGACTCTGACCAAGAAAAGGTACATGACGCTGCCTCATCTTTGGATGCAGGCCCCATTGAAATCAGCAGTGCCTACTTCTGAGTCGACAGAAGTACGGTGACAGCTACTGAGTTTGTTGCGGATTTACTCTCCCACACAAGGGAGATGAGCTCGTAGCTTTAGAGTGAAGAGGGTTGTGGATTCCTGGTTATGACCTTAAGGGCTGGCGGACTGGCAAAATGGAAGTTAGCTTCTGGAAAAGGCACTTATTCTCCTTAACTCATACACAAATAGGTGCGCGGTGGTATGACGTCAGGACTTGGAGAAGTTTTATTCCTTGACATTGATTCTGGACTTCCTTCCTAGTAAGAGCGCTTAGCAGTGGACAGTGCTGATTCTAAGCGGATTTCAAGGTGGGATAAGGTGGGATGTGCATTTTAAAATAGATAGGTTCTGTCCTCACTGGCTGTAAATAGCTCATATTGAATTTCTGAGGTTTTGTAGCCTCTGCGTACCCAAAAGTACACCTGTCTAAAGGACTTACTGGGAAGTACTGCCACCTACATGCAGGCCCATAGCTACAGTGGGGCTGTTGGAGGCTCCGCCCCTTCATTTCAAAATGCACATCCCACTTTATCCCAAGTTGAAATCCGCTTAGAATCAGCACTGTCCTTCGCACCAGGAGTTCAGAACCTGGGATGAAAACCTGGCTTAAGACCAGGTGGTGCTAGCAATCAACCTTGCCGGCATCCCGCGTAAGTTCCACCCAGAAGACACAGTGTGGCGGCTTTCTAGAGGAGTGCCACATTCCTGGTTTGAGATAAGCACGCCTCCGAGAAGAGGTGTGATTCCACTTCAAAATCCACGTTTATGGCTGGGACTATACAGGGGGTGGGGCTTAGTTTGGATTGATGTGGGAGACACCATCTAGCACATGTTCCTGGTAAGAGCATAACCCTTCAGCTGTCAGAGGTCTGGGGCATTGGACCGCAGGAGCTGGGTATTCTGATGTTGAGTAGTAGAAGATGGGGGGGGGGGGCTATAGTTTATTGGAAGAGCGCCTGTATTGCCCATAGAAAGTTCAGTCACCAGGATATCTCCAGCTACAAAGAGGGTTGGGCCCATGGTTTTTTGGTGCCCCAGGCACTTCACTGAATCCTCTGCACCCTTTCAATAGAGAGAAGAGATTGGATTTATACCCTGCCACTCACTACCTGAAGAAGTCTCAGAGCAGTTTACAGTCCATTTCCCTCTCCCTCCCCACAACAGACACCCTGTGAGGCAGGTGGGGCTGAGAGAGCTCTCTTGAGAACTGCTCGTGAGAGAACAGTTCTGAGAGAACTTGTGACTGACCCAAGGTCACACCAGCAGCTGCACATGAAGGAGTGGGGAATCAAACCTGGTCCACACTCCTAACCACTACACCAAACTGGCTCTCTGAAGTGAGAAGCCTGGAATGAACATTTTATTTATTTAACTGGGCATTCAAAATAGAAAGAATGTAAAAATAAAACCAGGTCAGTTCTCCCCAAGTCTTCCGTGTTGTATCATGTTATAGAAGCCCAGAGGCAACAGATTCAGGTGTTCTAGAAGCCTGGCAAGATGTGAAGCTTTGCTTTAGGCCAGTAGAGGAGGTTCCTCTCATCTTTGGGACGCCGTTCAAAATCTGGCACCCTTGGTAATCCACCTAGGTTTGCCTAGTGGTTGGGCCGGCCCTGGCTATGATGAACACAAGGCTGGCAAAGACCTCGGTATGGAAGAGGGAGCCAGCGCTAGTCAGAGTAGACCATCTCAGGGATTTAATCATAATAATATACTTTATTGTCATTGTACATAGTACAAAAAAATTAAAGATGCAGTCATTTCGGTGATATACAACAATATTCCTATACACTCACACACCATTCACTACTGTCCCATAACTCCCTTAAGGTTCACATAACAACTTATGTTCACATAACAACTTATTTGACTCAGGCAAAAGCAACCATCTGTTCATAAGAGCTTATCACAGGCCGTCCTCCTTGCTCGCGGCCGTAATGGCGCCACTTTCTTTATACGAGACCAAAGTGGCAATAGCCCAATACTGGACAAATGAGAAGGGAGCCCTCACTGGAGAAGACCCTGATGCTGGGAAAGACTGACGGTAAAAGAAGAAAGGGACAGCAAAGGATGAGATAGTTAGACAGTGTTACCGATGCAACGAACATGAAATCCAGCAAACTCCGGAGCACAACAGAAGTCAGGAGGGCCTGGCGTGATGCTGCGTTCCATGGGGTCGCGAAGAGTCAGGCTCGACTGTGCGACTGAACAACAAAAAGGACAGCAAGAGAGAGGGGGGCACCTGATGGGGAACTGAGGGGCGCAGGAACCTTTTCATGCACTCCCACCTCCACTGTGCTCATTTTGGGGAGGGAGAGAAGCCGGCTTCCCAATTGTGGAAAGAGAGAGGTTCTAAACCAAAATTCAGTTTATTCCATAGAGAGAGGTTCTAAACCAACATTCAGTTTATTCCATTACACACTCTTAAATCAGAAAACACTTTTGTAGCATTTCAATATTCAACATAAAATATTGCAACACAACCCCCAATACATGAACAGTGCACTTGTAATTCTGAAAAGGATATCCTTGGTTGTTCTGTCAAGACCCATAGCAGAACCATAACCAAGGGGTGGTTGGCCAGAACAACAAGGAACAAAACTAAATCCAGACATTAAGTACCCATCTCCAACCACAGGAACTAATGTAACTGTCAGTCAAGTCCATGACGAGCATTTGACATATACAAAAGTCAGCCCCTTTCTTTCTATCTCTGGGGTCAGGGAAGTAATGGAAAGGGTTAAGCTAGGTTGACTCAGAGAGTCAATGGGCGCGCCATTTGAGCCGGTATACGTGCCGGTTAGAAATGGAGTATATACGGGCGATCACACAGCCAACATCTGCCTCCCATCCCCAACCGTCCCAACCCCCCTTTAAACCGGAGTATTTTGCTACCAGGTCCCCGAGTGGTGTTTTCCTGCTGCTCCGGTTCTAGCCGCATTTCCCCTATGTGATTGCTCCTCCGCTGGTGTAGAGCCACTTCCTGATCCCCGCTTGAAAGGTGCCCGAGGCTTCTGCTTTTCGCCCACCATTTTTTTTTATTTTTCAGCACTGGCAATATGTGCTTGGGCGGAGCTTCTGCGTTAATAAAACCAAAGTTTAAACGGTGCTAGTTTTGCTGTATAGATGAGTTCAGGATCTCAGGGAGGCCAGTTTCTGGGTAAAAGTGTAAAGGGAAGTGTTCCTTTAATGTTTAAAGGGAAAAGTCACGGCAGTTGGGTTGAAGGGGAAATGGCTGTTCTGCGCATGTGCGAAAATTTCAATACTAAAGATGCCCAAACTGAGAGGGGAAAAAACCTGTGTGGAGGACGGGGAGAGATGTGGCTGCACAGCGATCCGGAACAAGGAGGTGAGTGTGATCGCAATTCTTCCAGGTTTTTTTTAAAAAGCACATCAGACTGGAGCAATTTACACCGCTCCCCGCACGCCGTCTGACCGCACCCAATGCTGACTAAGAGAATCCCAGGAAGCTAGCTTCACATATGCTAGCTATTTAGAATTCGATAATGTATAAACATTCCACAAGGCATATGTCATGTAAGGCAAAAGGCGTGTACAGGGTTATCTGTACCCAAAGGCCACGGCACTCCTGGGAAACAGAACCACAGATTCAGCTATAGAGGCTCATTGCTATAGAAATTAGAGTATCATAGGTGTACCAGAGGGTTAGCAGGGGACTGAGGCTCAATCCAGCCCTAATTCTGCAACACACCCAGGGTATTGCAACATAAGGACTCTTTGCGCCACCATAACTGGACGCAAGGCCAGTTGCTTTTTCTGTGTGTGTGTGTGTTTGTGTGTTTCAAACTTGGGACTGCCCCCTACAAATCCACCCCCTTTTGCCTCATGGAAATTCCCGGCATGGTGCTAATTGCCAAAAGCCGTTTAATCCACTGAATGAATAACAGGTCCAAAGGGCCTAGCTGTTGTTCTCTGTTGCTTTAGTGGCGCTAATAGATGCTCCCCCCCTCCCCCGAATAAGTGAAGCTCTCTTTGGAATATTTATTATGGGATATGCAGAACTCAGTAGGCCTGACCTTTTGTAGCTCTGCGAGTTTGTACTCTTTCTCCTACTGCCCTTATTTTGAAGGACAGGGAGGGCTGTGAGACCAAGATGTGAGGGTCTAAAGAGAACAGTTTCATAGAATCACAGAGTTGGAAGGGGCCATACAGGCCACCTAGCCCAACCCCCTGCTCAATGTCCTCAGAACACCCCCGCGAAGTAGGCTGTGGCAGTTGCTGAGGGATTCCTCGACAGCTTCTAGGTCCTTGGCTCCAGGCTAACGCGGTTGATACCATTCAGACCAGGGTCCCTTTTCGTGGCTCTCTAGATGTCAGAGTCGGGGGGGGACGGGGCGGGGCGGAGAGAAAGGCGTGGCCTGGCCTGGCTTAGATCAGCCTCTTTTCTCCCCGAGAGGCTGGCGCTCTCCGCGCGAGGGCGCGAAGGGACATCTCACCCTCCGAGCCTCCCCTCCTTCCCCTCCGAAGTGGTTCAGTCCGGGCGCCTGGCCACCTTCCTCCCGCGGGCCTGCCCGGGAAGCCGCATAGGCCGCGAAAGGGGTCGTCGTCGTCGGGGGCGGCCGCCGCCCGGGATGCCCCGCGCGTGGCTGTCCCCTTCGGGCGGGCTGCCGCCCGGTCTGTCGCGCTGGTTCCCGCGGCTGGAGGAGCTGGACGTGAGCGGGACGGGGCTGGCGGCGCTGGGCGCGGAGCTGCTCCCGCTCGGCCGCCTCCACACGCTGCTGGCCAAGAACAACCGGCTGGGCGCGGAGGGCTCGCTGCCCAAGGGCCTGGCTGCCTCCCCGCTCGGCCGCTCCCTCCGCGTCCTCAACCTCAGCGGGAACCGCTTCGCCCGCCTGCCCGACGCCCTCCTCGGCCTGCGCGGCCTCCGCAGCCTCAGCCTGGGCAGCAACCGCCTCCACCGCATCCCCGCCGCCATCCAGGAGCTCCGCAGGTGAGAGAGACCCCCCCACACACCCACACACCCAGGTCTTTTTTGCCAGGGGGCTTCCGTGTATTTTTGTTACTGTCCAGGGGGGTTTCCTTGTCATCTATATCTGTATCTATTTGTTACTGTCTAGAGCAGTGGTGGCGAACCTACGGCACGGGTGCCAAAGGTGGCACTCAGAGCCCTCTCTGTGGGCACGCGGTGCCATCCCCCCAGCCAGGCCCAGACCATCATTAAAGTGTCGAATTCTCTGCCAAATAATTTTAAGCATTTGGGATTGCTTTCCTTACTTTGTTTGGATCATCTTAAGTTAATGTATGAGTTGTTTTTTCTAAAGTAAAACCTCAGTATTCAGGCTAAATTGCCGTTTTGGCACTTTGCGATAAATAAGTGGGTTTTGGGTCGCAGTTTGGGCACTCGGTCGCTAAAAGGTTCGCCATCACTGGTCTAGAGGGTTTTCTTGTCATTTATATATATATATACACACACACACACACATGGATATACATACATACATTTTTTGCTTTCATATATATATACACGCACACATATACATACATATATGGAAAGCAAAATTTGTGGAGTCCCTGTGTTCCCTCTAAGCTGAGTTAGTGTGAGCTAGCTCACAGGTTTTTTTAGCCTCCAGCTCACACATTTCCATCTTCACTCAGGGAGGAGGGCTCCAGAGCAGACTAATTTATGTAGTAGCCAAATCCCTCGCTCACAACTTCAATGCCAGTAGCTCAGAAAGTACCATTTTTGCTCAGAAGACTCCACAGCTTAGAAGGGAGCATTGCGCAGCTTCCAGGTGGGACCTAGGAATCTCCTGGAATTACAGCTCATCTTCAGACTACAGAGATCAGTACCCCTGGAGCAGTGCTCCCTCTAAGCTGTGGAGTCTTGTGAGCAAAAATTTGGCTTGTGAACCTGCCTGGAACTTGCGTGATGCACAGCTGCTCAGGAAAGTTAAACACTTTGGCAGAATTCTTGCCACTGTGGTATGATTTGCTATTTGTATGTTGGTCTTGATATTGTCCTGTTTGGAAATATCACTGTAAGCAGCTTGGAGACCATGACTGGAGAAAGGTTCAGATATCTTAAACAAACGTGGCTTATATGCTAATACCTGTTTGTGTCTTCTCGCATGGGGGTGGGGGTGGGTGAGAGGAGTCTTTGGGAAAGCACCACCTGGGGCTGAAATGCTGGGAGAAATCGAAGCTAACTAAGAAAACGTCACCACTTCTCTTTCAGTTTAGAGTTTTTGTACCTTGGAGGGAATTTCATAACTTCAATCCCGCCGGAGCTGGCCAACCTGCCTTCGCTAAGTTACCTAGTGCTGTGCGATAACAAGATTCAGAGTATACCCCCTCAGCTGGCCCAGTGAGTATCACCCTTTTATTATTTGGAATCCTGGTCCGTTGTGATTAAACAACTGCTTTTGAACCTGGCAGCAACTTCTGGAGAGGGTATTTGCGAGTAGGAAGAAACACGCAAGTTGTGCCTGCCTACATCAGTTTGTGTGCGTCGTCCTGCAGCATACGCTGGGCAGCTGTGACTGACAGCAACTTGCAGCGTGTGCACCCCATTTTAATGCACAGCAGATCTTGCCATCTCCATATACCTGCCTGTGGTCTACATGTGGGTTTTTTTGTGCCAAAAGTGCATTATCCGTCTAGGAGAACAATATTGTGCAGTCTTATATGGGTTGAGAGCGGGTTCTGGCATGCCTGCTTCTCTCCTGAAGAATGCAACCGTAATGTGGGCTTGAGTGTGTTAGTGAGGCCTTATCTCAAAGAGTGCTTTTCAGTGGAGTCCCTTCACACGTTTGTCTTCCAGATGGCCATTGAGCTTGCAGATGGCCATTGAGCTCTGGAATAGGCACACAGGCTGAATACGCATGAAGCAGAGAAGGGGAGGGGATATTGAGGGAGGCTTTCTGAAGACAGCATGAGCCAGCACTCCCTTTCTCCCTCCCACAGTTTCTCTTCCCCCATTTCTGTAATAACAGAAATAGCTGAACAGATTTGGTAAATTGCTGCCACAGTAGCAGTAATTAAAGGGTTAAAGTACAGGGTGTGGCGGAGTTACTAAGCTGTCGAGAGTAATATAAGGAGTCCTTGACAAAGAGACCTAAGAAGGGCTGCGGCTCGGTGGTAGAGCATCTGCTTGGCATGCAGAATGTCTTGGGTTCAGGCCCGTCCCCGTCCCCCCCCGTCCCCGCGCAACTCCAGTTAAAGGCAGTGGGTGATGGAAAGGACCCTGAGTGGGTGATGGCCTGAGACTCTGGAGAGGTCTGAGTAGACAATACTGACCTTGATGGACCGATGGATCTGATTCAGGAGAAGGCAGCTTCGTGTGTGATAAACTGCTAGGGAAGGAAGATTAAAAAAAAATTAAAAGGTGGCAGAGTTGCTTTCAAAGTCCAGGGCAAACAAAGGAAATCCCTCAATCCCAAAAGGAAGATGGGAGAGAATCCAGTATTTATTTATTTATTTATTTATTTAATTTATACCCCGCCCTCCCCTGTAGGGCTCAGGGCGGCTTACAAGGCAAGATAAACTTGCTACAATGAAACATAATATACCTATAATTTTAAAAACATACTATACAATTTAAAAACCTGTCCTAACAAGTAAAGTGCTCAGTAATCATCAAAAACCCAAAGATGACGGAACAATTCCAAGAAAGTTCCTGGTAGACAGTCTATGGCTTCAATGTTCAGATGTTCCGATGTTCCTTCTCAAGGGGGGGGCCCTACTCAAAAGCCTGGTGGAAGAGCTCCGTCTTGCAGGCCCTGCGGAACTCCCGGATCTCTTCCCGGAGCTCGTTCCACCAGGTAGGGGCTGCCACCGAAAAGGCCCTGGCCCTTGTGGTGGCCAGTTTTGTGTCTCTGGGGCCCGGAATAGTTAACAAATTTTGGGCCCCAGACCATAGTGCTCTTGGGGGAACATACGGGGAAAGGCGGTCCCTCAGGTAGGTTGGAACCAGGCCATGGAGGTGGAGCGAGGATGGAGTGACACACGTGTGGTGCAAGGCAGCAAAACACAATGCTGAAAGGAAGTCCGAGGCTAGACGTCTTCCCTAGCAGTTTCCACTCACGATAGCCACACAATGCCCTGCAATCCCAGCATCCACGAGGCTTGGAGGGATTCGTCCTTGCAAACTGACCCGCTTTGTCTCCGCCTGGCTCCGCAGCGGTAGAGCGCCAGGAATTTCTGTGCTCCTGAGATCTGTGCCTCTGTCTCAACCCCCACCCCTTCTCAGATCTTTGGAAGAGATTGGAAAGAGGAGGATGTGTTGGGAATCTAGATGACCCGTGAAGGAGTGGCCCTCTGCACCTTGAGGCGGAGTCTTCTTTGCAGCCATGAAACCAGACCAGACCAATCCCCAGTGCCCTGGGTGCCTCATGTCTAGCCTTCATGGCTAGCTCATGCGTGCAACTGGCACTCCTTTAAGGCACACGAACGGATGGGGCTTGAGGAGGGCCTGGCTGCGCAGGTATGCGGGAGGAAGGAGAGGTGAGCTATGCACGTCCTCCTGACCGTATTTCTCTTGCATAAAGAAACAAGTTGCCAGCTGTGCTAGTCCTATAGAAAAATCCCAACACTCCCCCCCAAAAAAACACAATCCACCTTTCATTAGTACCAGCCCAGTGACCCACCGCAGCATGCAAGTTTCTTCAGGCTGGGTGTTACCAAAAAAATCAAAAAGGAAGAAGCTGCAGGACATGATGTAAAATCCTAGGGTAGTCTGCACTGTGCTTTTCAGTCACATTGAGAAGATAGTGGAAAGGACATTAGGGTGTGTTAAGATGAGCTCCCTGAGGTTTCTCCTGTGGGAACCCTAGGGTTTGGGAGCATCAGAGGCCTGGCATGGTCTCTGCCTCCTCTTACCTTTTCTCCCCTTTGGCTTCCAGGCTGCCTTCCCTGCGTTCTCTTAGCCTCCATAACAACCTGTTGACCTACCTTCCCCGGGAAATCCTCAACCTCATCCACCTCGAGGAGCTTAGCTTGCGTGGGAATCCTCTGGTCGTGCGGTTTGTCCGCGACCTGACATACAACCCCCCCAGCCTCCAGGAACTGGCCGGCCGCGCCATCAAGACCCGCAACATTCCCTACGTGTCTGGCGAGCTCCCTGAGAATCTTCTCCGGTACCTGAATCTGGCCAGCAATTGCCCCAACCCCAAATGCGGAGGTGAGTTCTGCAGAGCATGCCTTCAACCAAGACATTAAAAAGTCAGTGCGAATAACTAATAACCCATGAATGACTAGATTTTATAATGTTGTTGTCGTTAGCCATTCAGTCGTGTCCAACTCTCCACGTGTTCCGATCTTGTACTGTTTCTTTGAGTCCTTCCATGCTCAGGCTGGTGTCGACTTTTATGGTGTCTAGCCACCGTATTGTTTCGTGTCCCGATTCCATTTTGCTGCTAACCAATCCATGCATGATTGCTTTTCTTTTAGTGAGTTCTTCCGCATGACATGGCCAAAATAAGTCAGTCGCAGTTTTATAGTTTTTCCTTCCAATGACATGTCTGGTTTTATGCGCTCCAGCACTTGCTTGTTTATCGCCTTTGTTGTCTGATAAGTACAATAATATAATAATATATTAATATAATG